CAGTCATTCCACTCCTAGGCAATTACCCAGAAGAAAGGTAAGTGTGTGCCTATGCAAAGACTTGACTGCTTTGCTGGTGATAACAAGCTGGAAACCCCCAGATCAATCCCTGGGTGACAAACCATAACATGTTTACAATCAGGAACGCTATTCATGTGAAAAGGAAACAACCAACCATCGATCAACATGCTAACAGGAATAAATCTCAAAATACTTACCCCGAGGGAAAGAAATCGGGCAAGAGTCCATACTGTAACATTTCATTTATAGAAAATGCAAACAAGCCCGGTGGGAAGGAAAGAACCAGGGAGCTGGGGATGCAGCAGAAGGGGAGAAGTCTCAGCGGGGCCTGGATGAGTTCTCAGAGGGCCAGATGCATCATCTGCTTGCAGGCTTGGTTGCTCACGGCTGCCTTTCTATGCCCGACTTCATAAAACTGCACATTTAAATATGCAGCCTGGACGTCAGTGATGTCTGGAGACCGTATCTCCAGGAGGCTTCAGCAACCCCTGGCACCTGGTGATGGCTCCTGCCACACTCTCACTCATCTGCTCAGCAAGTCAGCCAGCCAGGCGGACTTGGGGAGGAAGAGCAGAGCATGCAGGTTAGGCAGGTGAGGAAATCACAGGTGCAGTCCAAACAGCTACCTTCTCTAAAACAAATCAGCTGGTACCGACCTGCAGCTCAACATTTGGAAAACGCTGTTGTCAGAGCACCAGTAGAGAAAGTGAGGAAGAGTCTGCCTTCGGGCAGCAGGGCCGCAGTACCCCTGTGCTAAGCCCCTGCCAGTGACCCACCGTGCCTCTTTCTGCACATCCTTTTACTCTCAGAAGTGTTCTGGGGACTTGTAAGTCATGTGATCATCTCGCCCAGAACAAGGCCAGCCCTTCTACTGTCTTCCTAATACAGTCTGGAAGGGTCTCCGTGGCCATCACGCTACCAGTGTGGTTAATAGCATTGAGGCAAAGGGCCCTGGAGGGCCATGCTGGGAGGCACTGGGTGGCAGGTGCTGTTGCTGTCCACCGACATCCCTGGAGTCCCTCTGACAGATTCTGTGGACCAACATCCCACTTGCCATCTTCCCAAGAGCTGCCCTTGGGGAACGGGAGCCACCTTGCCTAGAGGGGCCCAGGAAGTTGATCTCACAGGTAGTCTCCAGCCTTCCCAGGCCAGGACCTGAGCACCCAGGTCTACCCCTCCCACCTACACTGCTTCCTGCAGAGCGTTTGCTGACTGAGTCACCTACCCGCCAGGCCCTTCTCAGAAGCTGCTCACCCTGGAGAGGAACTGCACTCCGTGAGCCTCTGGCTCTAAAGGAAACACACAGCACACTTAGCAAGCTGCCGAAGCCAATAGCTGAGCACCATGCAAAGCCACCATTCTGAGGGCAGGGCAGGAGGCAGGGGATCAGGAGAACAAGGAGGGAACCAGGGCAGTGTGTCTGTCTTCCACTGACACATAGTAGGTACATCTGCTGTCAAACAGCTGCTCTCTGAAGAGGTCCCTGATGAATGATGTTCTATAATTTGATTTTTGAACATAAAAAATATTTCCTAGCATGATAGTCAGTGTGATTAAAAATCTGCTTGGTTGTTTTAATAGAATGCCACTACCTTTTATTTTAGGAGCCCCGGGGCTCCTCAGGGATCGTCAGAACCAAGAGAAAGGCCCAGGATCTCCTGTGGCAAGCTGGAGACTCAGGAGACCTGAGGGTGGAAGTTCCGGTCAAGCCCAAATGCCTGAGACCCAGGGGAGCCTGCCTATGTTCCTGTACAAGTCCAAAGGCAGGAGACAACCATTGCCCCAGCCCAGAGACGGGCAGAGAGCAAGGGAGTTTCTTACTCAGCCTTTGGGTCTAGGTAGACCTTCGGATAATTAGGTGAGGCCCACCCACATCTGCTTTACTCAGTCCGTCAACTTACCTGTAAGCACCCTCCCGGACACACCAAATATGTCACCCCAGACCCAGCCAAGTGAACAAATGACATTAACCTTCATGGCCACCCTGCTCCTATTCAAATCTCCTTGCCAGTAAGAACCTGGCTGGGCTGCTGGTATTCAATAATAAATGCTGGGCCAGGCCCATTTGGTGGCCCACCCCAGTTCACATCAGCTTGGGGTGCAGTTTTGGGGCCAGAGGGCCACCGCTGTCCATGGAAGTGTGCCTAGACATCACTTCCGGGAAGCTCCAGCTGCTCAGCCTCAACACAGGTCACTGAGTGCCATACCCAGCGCCCAGGAACTGCCTCCATGTTCCAGCAGGGGCCACAGCCTCTCCAGGTGCCCCTGGCCAGTGCCCCAGCTCACCACCAGGGGTATTGAGGCCAAGACCTTTCTGCCAAGAGTGGGATTCTCAAACACACACTGCCTACTCAGAGTACAGGACTCTCAGGGTCGGACAGGACATGGTTGGATACAGCTTTTCAGACCCATATCTCAGACTAAAGTGCCCCGTTTGGCCAGCCACTTCCCCTCCTCCCGCACAGGTGACAGGTTTGCATCAGTCTGAAGCCTTTTCCTCACAATCTGCCTGCCCTCGGCCCCTGCAGGTGGGTTCCCTCTCTAGAAGCCACAGCGCTGAGCAGGTGTCTGCTTCCTGAAGACAGCACGTATTCCTGACTGTATTGCCACCCCCGGGAGAGTTATCAGCACGATCCAAACTCCTCCTTTGCTCAGGGGCAATGGCAGTTCCTGGGGTGGGAATGCCTCCCACATCCAGGAACCTCCTGGGTCCAGTGGACAGCCACGCACTGTCAGGATTCAAAGACCAAAATTCCTCTTCCCTAGCTGGCCCACAGCCTTTGCCCCTAGACCTCCCAAGCACAGTCAGTCACTCTGGCAGCCCTCAGCAACTCCGGGAGCACAGAGTAACAATGGTCTTCCCAGAGACCCCAGATCTGAAGCGCCCATCAGGTGGTTAAATATTTCCCATGTCACCTGGCAGTGAGGTCACAGTGCAGGATCCCTGCAGTCTCGTTGGCTCTGATTGGCTCATGCTTTGCTTCCCGTCTGCAGTGGGTGGATGGACAGACACATCTGCCACTCGTCTTCCTAGGGCTCCAGAGAAGTTGGAGCCTCCTTACCCTATGGGCAGGGCACCAGTGCCCAGGGGGAGCATGAATGTCCAGAACATGGCAGGCTGTCCTGTACAGGGCCACACATCAGTCACCTCACCTGCATGTGAAAACCTAGGCTCTCCTCCTGCCAGGTCCCTGGGAAGGACTGTATTGCCTACCATCCGCTCCTTGCCTACAGACTGGTCCTTCCTCTCTGTCCTCTACCCTCAGCAGATCCAGTGTCCAGAGCCCTAGAGGAAGATCCACGGGCTTTCTGGGGATCTAGATCGGGGAAGCCCTTCCTGACACTCCCCAGCCTACAGTACAGAGTGATATACTCAGTGACAGGGTTCCAAATGACTGACAACAGCCTTGAAGACACCCACAGTCAATTACCTGGCACCCCGTTCGGATGAGGCTGGCTTTAGGTAAGGACCACACAGGTGGTCTAAGCAGAGTTAAGGGCTTTAGCAAAGGGGCCACCAAATGGGGACTTGCTACTTGGTGCCTGAGCAGTGGCTAGAGGGAGGCCGCTGGGGAACAGGGGACAGGTCAGGGTTTCTGTGCCCCTTGGAAATGAAGCATGTATGCCCCAGAGCATACTTGTGGCTTCTGGTGTCATTTCTGGAGCGGCTGTTCCACCTCATCTCTGCAAGGCAGTGCAAACCAAGCTGGAAACATCTTTCAATGTGCAGTCTGCAACAAGGACACCAAGCCCTCTGAACAGTTCTGCTTTATAGCCAAAGGCATTCCATGGTGAAAGGCGGCCTCATAACAACATCAGCTCAGCTCTGGGCCGAGTCCAACCCATCACCTGTGCTTCCGAACAAGCTTTTCTGGATCATGGCCGCGTCCTCTATCCACAGATCATCTGTCTGTGACCAGCCCCCTGCTCCAGTAGTGGGGTTGTGATAGACCTTTTGGGACGTAAGACTTAAGATGTTTGCTCTCTAGTCCTTTATACAATGTGCTGATTGATGCCTGGTCCAGCCACATGTAAGGGCCCAAGTGACCAAGGCCAACAAGACACCTGTGAGAAGGAAAAATGGTTTAACAGAGAACTGTCACCGTGCCCTCTCCTGCAGTAAACTGAAAACTCTACAGACAACAAGGGAACCTCCACCATTGACGGGAGCACCAGCCAGAAAATAAATGAAGCCCCCAGGGGCTTCTGTATCCTGACTACTCCCTCCAGTGGTCCTACGAGCAGGAAGAGTCTGGTCTGTTTTTCACGCATGCTTTTTTATTTTCACAGATATCTGTAAGTCAAATTCTTAGCTGGTTTTTCTGTTAGTTGGCTTATGGATGGTTTTGCTGCGTGTTTGCGTGCGTTCTCAAATTTCTACAACACTGTTATGCATCTTTTAAAGCCCACAGCCTATGGGTATCAGAGCCAAAGCCGCTCAGAGTCGTGTGCTTCCAAGGTGAAGAACCTGGTGTCCCAAGTGAAAGGTCCTCAGCCTGACCATGCACGGACAAGGTTTTGTGGGCTGCTCTGAGCCGCCAAGCCTTGACCCTGGCTGTGGAACTTGAGGAAGCTGCCGCTGGTGGCTGGGCCCTCTCAGGAACTGATGCAGCCATTCTGGCAGATTCTTCTCAGATACTAACAAAGCTCGGTGCTGTGATGTCAAGGATTTCCTTGTCTGCGTGGCAGCCCTGCTCTGTCTTCTGCAAAGGGGGCTCAGTGGTTCACCAGGGCCAGTGCAGAGTGTGCCCACTCCCCAATGTCAGCAATAGACAATACCATGGAGACCAAACGTCCCCTCCTATGTCCACCCAAAAGGCACTTTTCCTCCCTAGATGAAAACACAGTCATGATAAGGCAACAGAAAGCAAGCAGTCACTTTCAAAATACCTTTATTTCTCATTGGGTAGTCACGTCACCACATATCTCATGGCAGTTACCACGGTGCATCTCACGTGGACGTGCCCACTCTTCATGTCTCAGTCCTCATCTTCATCCTCTGTGACTGTCTCTGTTCCTAGATTAAAGAAAAGGAAAAGTGGGATGGCTCTCAGAAGGAACATTTGGCAAGCTTGAGAAGATGTCATCAAGAACTCTGAGCACATCTGCATGGCATCGCTTGACAAGCTTTGCTCACAAGCCAGTGTGGTGGGTGTCCTGTGCTGCCCAGTGTTTCTCACTGCACCCGGGGACAGACACCTCAGGGGGAGGGCCTTCACCACTCCTTGTCTCGCCACACAAGGCATGCACAGCAAGGTGGGCACATGTCCTACAGACATGCCCGGGGTAGGGCAAGTAGTGAGGTCTCAAGAGATGCACAAGGCTTCCTCTCCCTGTCCTTCTTTCCCCAGTGGCTCCACCAAAGCCACACCCATATGGGTAAAGGAAAGAGTGTTTCGTGCACATGAATCTCTTGATAGGAAGCCCATTGTTCAGAGCGTCCCTTTCTCTAGCTTGACCATCTGTCAGCCCGAAAAAGCAACATGAGGCCTCCTATGCGTCACCGACACACAAGTGAATTTGCCTCCCAAAAACCGGAGTGAGAAGAGAGCCACCGTCCCTCTTCAGCCACCACCATAACAAAAGCAGCCATACTCGTCCTGTGGCACCCCAGAAGATCGACCTTAGAAAACCTGTTGAGTGCCAGTGGACTGTACCCCTGGCCAGTGCAGTGCCAGCCACTGGCACAGCCACACAGGATACTGGTGGCTCAGGATGAAGTTAGGTAAAAAGGGAGCACTGGAGGAGAAGGCCCGTGGAGGAGCCCCATGCTGCAGCAGGGCCCCCACACATACCTGGTCCTCCAGAGCTGGACACCTTGGAATTATGCCCAAATTAAACAGCAGTTGTAACTGTTGCTGAAGGCGAAAAGGATGCTGAGTATCTCTCATGGGGCAGAAGCTGGGCTCTGGCCCAAGCCTGCAGACGGTTCAGAGCCAACCCACCTTCTCTTCCTTGGCTTTCGCTGGCCTTCTTGGAGGAGTGCGTCTTCTGCGAGGTTTTTGAGCTCTTTGCGGAAAGCTTCTCTCTCCTCTCCTGAACAATCCTGATGAGAAGAGAGCTTTTATCACAACCAGAGCAACTAGAGATGGAAGGGATGTCTTCCCAGGACATCCCTTGTGCACAGATCTCATGACCAGGCTCATGTGTTTGGTCCTGCTCGCCCCTACAGCCCCCCGACCCCCTGCACAGTTCTCATCACCAGCCAGCATGCGCGTTCTAGGGAAAACGCTTTGCCTCGTGGTCTCATCTTAGTCTTACTCAAGCTCCAGACAGATGATGGAATGAGGCCTTGAGATTCCAAAAACCTGAGACAGCAAGTGGACATCACAGAATGGGCTTGATTTTTTTGGACAAAGTACACAAATTCTCCTGTGTGGTTGTCCCAGAGGGAGGTTGCTCATGACAGCCCTGCCATGGGAACACCAACCACCACAGACACTGGGCTTCATTTCCTCAAGGGAAACAAGAGCTCTCTAAGATGCCCAAATGCTGATGTCCCACAGGTAGGATGCACACCACATGACAGTCTAGGTCAGCCCAGGTTTGGAGCTGGGTGTGGGACACTGGGAACAACCAGGTACTGAGTTGCCTCGCTGGCCCCATCACCTAAGCCATGGGGCTTCCTCAGTGCTGATGGCAGTCACTCCAACAGAGGACAGACCAGCACCCATGGCTGTGGGAGACTGATAGGACTAGCAAGGTGAGTCCCACACTGAATGTCAGGGCCCACTTTGTCTCCAAGAGCTCTGGAGCCTGGCTACCAAGAACCCTTCCTAACCTGTGCCCAGTTCCTACTGCATATCCACGAGGAAGAAGCAGAAAGACACACCTGTAAATGATGGTGATGATGAAGACCCCAGCTACAATCACGATCAGGGTGGAGAACACTGGCACATAAACTGCAAAACAAGCCCATAGCTTAGTGCCTGGCCCCAGGTGAATTTAACAAAAACCAGAGAAAGGAAAGTTGACCAGCCCTGCCTAGAGTTACATACAGAGCCCATCTACCCATCTGTTCAGGACTTTGCAGACTAAAGGGTATTTTCACTGGGTCCCTTCAGCCCTGACAACTTCCACATGGATGTCCCTGCCATTGAATCCTACATTCAGGAAAGAGCCTCTCCCTGGTCTTCACCCCACAACATCCACCCATCAGGGTGATGCAAGGGATCTTGAAACATTAACACAGGTAAAGGTGCAGGTGGACAGTCTGCCCAGAACTACTTACACTGTCATTGTTCCCATCATTCTCTTCTTCAATAGCTTTTTAACTCTCTCAGGGAAAGAAACTGGCTTACTGACAGATGCCTACCTACCTCCAGGGACATGATTTGCTACAATCTCCTTTCCCCCTCCCCCTTCTGAATTGCTTTCAGGCATTCCTGTCTGATAATATATTTATAACACTGCTAGATGATATGTGCTTGGGCGGAGGGTGTTAGTTCCCAGGGCCACCACAACAAAGTACCACAAACAGTGGAACTAAAACAAAAGTCATTTATTGCCATCCAGATCTGCAGGCCAGAAACACAAGATGAAGGCCTTGACAGGGCTGTGTTCTCACTAAAGTCTCCAGGGAAGGCTCCATCCTCTGTGGGTGCTGGTCACCATTGCTGTCCCTCAGTTTGTAGACATCATGTCAATCTCTACCTTCATCATCCCATCGCTGGCTCCCACCAGTTCTATTGGATTGGGAGCCACCTGTTCCAGCATGCACTCATCTTTACTAATCACCAGGCACAAAGACCCTTTCTCCAAATAAGGTCCCATTCACAGGTACCAAGGACTTGGACTTGAGCACGTGTTGTGGGTGAACCCAGTTCAACCCACACCAGCAGGTGAGTACCATACAGAGAAAGCTGCCTCCCAGGCAGTCAGCAGGATTACAACAGGACCAGCATTCCCTCTGCTGCTCTTTGGGTATCCAGAAATGAGTGAGTCTGTGAGTATCCATTATGTGGGAACTAGAGTCAGAAAACTGAGAGAGGATTGAAGCTACCGAATCATGATGGCAATCTAAGTTCTTGACTTTCCTCACATTGATGTGACCTCGGTCAGCAATGGTACAGTATACAATGGGCGCTCAATGTGGTCTGTCATCAAAGAGAAGGGAGGGAGGGGCTGGACTTGGGGTTGAGTGGCTGTCAGGTAACAGGCTCATACACTTAACAATGGACAAATTAGGGAAGCGCTTGGTGAGGACTCTTCCCATCAGATGACTTTTTTTCTTTAAATGATGGCTTTCCTGTGGGAACTTGTTTACAAGGAGAGGAAGATGACCGGCTTGCCTTCAAGTCTCCAGGGCTTCCACCATTGCTTTCAGTATGGTCTCCAGTGCCCTGCCCACCTCCTTTGTCATTATGCCCCAGAGAAATGCTCCCACAGTGATGAGGACTGACTTCTGACCAAAGGAGACGTGGCAGAGTAGAACTGCCAAGCCTGGATCAAAAGACTCTGCGGCTTTTACTCTACTCCTTCTTGGACCGTCTGCTGGGAGACAGACAGTCACTGTGTCACGAGGACACCTGGGCAGGAACAGCAGCTTCCACCAACACTCAGAACCCAGCTAGAGCACAGCCAATCTTCCTGGAAGCAGAGTCTACAGCCCACCAAGCTCCAGGTGACACAGCCATGGGTGACATCTCAGGAGGCATCCGAGCCCAGCCCAGTGAATCCTATGTGTCAGAGAACAACACAAGTGTTGGCATAGGGCTCACCCAGAGAAAGTGCCATTCGGATGATGGTAAACACACAGCATCGACTGGATGGAAATGCACAGATAAAGAACAAATTTAAAACTTTTAAGAGAGTAGCCACTAAGTTCTTGAATTCCTAAGGAATGTTGATGCCTTAGGAATGACTGTGACACACATACTTCTTAATTATTTTTGTGTTCAATTTTCAGCAACATTCCCTGTGAGCTAGTATTTCTTGTTCTTGACGTATCCTGCATAAGGCAGAAACCAAGTCTCTGAGTTTCTACACAGTGTATGGCCAGCAACACTATTCGTTAGAAACCCTATGTGTGGTTTATCAGAAACCATATATTATAACTAATCTTCCAGAAACAGCAGCAATTGAAAAGAAGGATTATTTTCTTTAAGGAATATCTTGGTAATATCTCCCCAAGTACAGTTAAACAAAAGTTTTAAAATCATTTCAGCAAGTCCCATAAAGAAACTGAAGTCAAATACTTAGAAGAAATGACATGCTAAATAATGTACCCTAAATCAAGACTGAAGAATGAAAGGCAAGTCTTTCTCTTTTCTGAAAGATCTACTGCTAATTCCCCCAAGTTCATATCTTTAATAATACAGATTATGCCGTAACACAATGTGCACTTCAAACCAGCCAATTTAAGAAGTTGGTGAAAGGTTTTCATAACATAGAATTATGTGCACAAAGAACTCATAATACCCTGTCACTGAATACTACAACTTACACAGCACAAAGGTTCACTTGCCGTTTTGAATGAGAAAGATGTCAAAGAAATGAAAAATAATTTGTGGGCACAGTGAGAACCCAAATGTAGGGCTCTCTGCCCAGACTCTTCCTACAGATCACCCAGCCGCTCAACTCGAAAAATGTCAGAAGTTAAGAAAAGGCGTAGTCCACACACCCAGGTATTAAAATTGGACAGCTGGAAAGAGGGTTCCTATTTGCTTCTATGCAAGCACGATGTACCCACTTGTAAAAGAGTGAGCCCCCTTCCAGCACAAACTCTTGAGAGCATATGACTCATTTTCAAGTGAGCGACAGGCATAAGTGATTGTTCTATTAAGCGATGTGTGGTACACATAGAGCAATCATAAAATGGTCACCACCTGTGTAAAACTGATGACAAGACGCCTGGGGACAGGCTAGGCTGTCAAAACCAGCGGCTGCCTGGAGTGGAGCAGTGCTCCTAGCTGGATCTGCCTGGGACGCCTGCTCACTTCTCTACTCCACACTCTCAGGTCTCCGTCTCACTGAGATAATTTCCAAGATGGTGTCTTGCTCTGTAGCCTGAGAATGAGTGTGTTTCATATCTTCCTGTGAGATGACTGACAGCACAAATTCTGTGAAAATTCAGAATTTTCACAAATTCACTGAATGCTCGTGTTTCCTGCTTTTAGGAGCCCAAACGGTGAATTTCCCAGAACACCTAAGTTGCAGAAGCACCCAGGAAACTAGTGTTCTGAGGACAAGTCTGCATGGGAATGGGGAGAGCTGGGTTCTCCAGACATGGTGCTGTCCACCGATGAGACATAAGCTTCGAGCCCCCAGCACCTCAAGCAACAAAAGGCAAGTGTGAACAGGAGCCGATTGTGGCCCGGTGGCCACCAGGCCCAGGCCCAGCCTGAGGGGAATCCACCACATGCCCTGGAGCAGGTGACAGGCCAGTCAGCCTGGGACTCCAAGAGATCTTGCAGGTAAGGTTGTGGCTAATGGTAGTGGGTTTTGTGTTGGGACAGGTGAAGAACGGTGACTCCTTTCAGGATAAAACAGTATGTCTTATTGTGACCCTCACTCCTCAATGGTATGCAACTAGACTATGAGGGTCAAGAAAGTCCAGAGTTAACTTTGAGGTAGTATCAGCAAAAACAGCACAGTGAGAACTTCCATAAACTCCCTTCTCCATGCAAGCAGAGAAGACCGGCAAAAACTGTCAGAAGAAAATTTTTTTTCAGAAATCTGGAAATAAACCAGAAGCTTTGCAGAAATCTTAAGATGAACAGCTAAATCTTAGTAGCTTTGGGTATTTTATTCACCTTGCTTCTACCTTTCCTGCCCACCTCCTTGTCCACAGTAACTTTGAAAAGCAATGGCCAGAAGCCACTGGAGGGGCAGAGCAGGGTTGGAGCCCCTCCAAAGTCCCCTGCCAGAGAACTGTCTTTCTCTAACCCTTTTGCTTCCCTGAAGGATCCCATTTGCGAAGCTGCCTTCCTGCAGCTGTCTAGTGAGAACAGTCTTTCCCCCAGCACTGGTTGAAAACCACCAGAGGCTGTTGCTGAAAGTCCCGCCTGACTGGCGCTCTGTGGCAAAGAAGTAGGCCAAGAAAAAAGCAGGAAAGGAAAGCCGGGAGGGGGCTGGGGGGTATTCTTCACTGGAGCTTATATTCCTAAGAAGCTAGAAGGCCACAGACAGGCCCAGAGCTCTGAACCTGCCCAGGAAAGACCTGATAAGACCCGAGCTCTCACTTCCGGCTGACCTTGAGGCTTCTTGGAAGCAGGAAGTGAAGGCTGAGGCAGAGTTGGAAACTACCTGGTAGAAGTTATGTCCCAACACACAGACAGAACCCTGTGGGGCAAAGCCTGAGACACATGTTTCCAGACGTCTCAGGAAATTTCTGTCCAGCCATTAGCTGACCACTAGGCTAATCAAGCAGAGTCACCAATGGCCACATACCACAGTCCAGTCTCTAAAGAACATACACTTTGCAGAATTTGTCCAGAAAAACCATCGGACAATGGTGACAATAAAAAGCAGCAGTAACAAAGAGTCAGGTGGAGAACCTGACTTTAATGTTAATTTCTTTAATGTTATATGCTCCTGTGTCATATTGTTTTAAACGTCCACTTTCAACAAGAAACGTGAGGTATGCAATGAAATAAGTATGGTAGTGTACCTGAAAAATGCCATTAACTAAGGAAGCCCAGACAGTGGTCTTATTTAGGCAAAGACTTTAAATCAGTTATCTTAAATATATGCAAAGAATTAAAGAAAATCATGCCTAAATAAAATGAGAATATTTCCTCAAAATGAGAATATTAATAAGGTGGTCAAAATTATTAAGAAAAAAACAAGTGGAAAGTCTGGAACTGAAGGTCCAATGTTGGAAATGAAATGTTGACTGAAGAGGCGAAGTGTACCAAACAGACAGCAGGAGTCTTAGAGGGAGGGAGAGAAAGGAGCAGAGAGGGTAGCTGAAGAAACAATGGTAAAAACTTCCTAAATGTGATTAATGTCAATCTACACATCCAGGAAGCTCAGCTAACTCCAAGGATGATAAATTCAACATGGTCCAGCTTAGACACAAGATAAAATGTCCACAGATCTTGAAAGCAGCATGGTAGAAGTGACACCATGTGTACAGAGGGTCCCTGACTTTAACAGCAGTTTCTCATCAGAAACCAAGGAAGCCAGAGAGCAATGAGGCAAAATACTCTTTGAGTGCTCCACAAAGATTGTCAACTAACCATTTTCCACAGAACTGAGGTGGCTGCACAACTTTGTGAATACACTAAAAGCCACTGAATTGTATCCTTTAAAAGGGTGAACTTTGTGTTGTGACACTTTCAACTCAATAGAAACCACCTGCTTCTATCTGAGGACAGAGGATACCACGAGTGCTGGGGTCCTCTCTGCTGGAGTGAGGAGGGGGTCCCAGGTCTTCTGGCAACCCAAAGGAGACACTCTCAGCAGAAAATCCTTGCGGCTCCTCACGGTCTCCATCATGACCCCTTATGCCTGATCTTGACAAATCCTCTTCTTTTCCTCTTCTTCTGCCAGATCCTCACCATGATGCAGACAGACACCTCCAGTGCGAGCCCAGTCCAGCTGCCTTTCTTCTCGTGCCCTCGCCTGCGAAGTCAGTGTGGGGCAGCCCAGCAGATGGCTGCCTGGCAGTGCCCATGGTCATGGTGTGCCCTGACTTCCAGAGCCATACAGGGTCCGGGAAAGAAGACCAGGAGCCCTGTCCCTGATGGACTCAGAATGTAGAAGGCAAAAGGAGGGGAAGGATGGATCTCCGAGGCACACAACCCAGTATGCCTTCATCCCAGCAGGCTGTGGACGGGAGAGACATGGCTGGAAGGTGGGGGGCACTCAAACAGTCTCCAGAGCCTCAGAGCTGAGAACACCTCCACCGTGTCCAGCCTTCCTGACCTCTGGGGTGCAGACCCTGGTCTTTGAGGGAGATTAAGTGTCAGCTGTGTCCCAGACAGCACTCAGAGCCAAGTACCCTCACTTCTAGGTGAGGGCAAGCTGGGAGGGAAACGCGTGAACCTTCATGTGGTTCAGAGCCAGATCTCCAGCATGTGGGGTCCACTCAGGTTGTAGAATGAGGACAGCACTTTGCTGCCATACACCACACATCCATGTCCACCTGAACCTGCTCCCTCCAGCCCCACTCTGATACCTTGTGTGGCTGGAGGTATTTCTCTGGGAGCTTCCACAAGCGAGTGGGCAGTGTCCCTTCTTCCCCCCTCCTCTACCCCCTCCCCCAGTTGCTCCCAGGCTCCTCAGGACCGCTGCCTTTCCACTCAGAAGCTGGAGTGACCTTAGGAGAAACCCAGTGGGGTGGAGTCTCTCAGCTGTCCTAACAGTGCTTGGCTGGACTGTACTAACGGGGCTCAGGCAGCTGAACTCACCTAGCTGTATGGCCAACAGCACCAACTGTCTCTGTAGGGCCAATTCACATCTTTTCACCTCTGCAACCCCCAGAATGACCAGGATCTTCCAGGGAGGTCCCTCCCACCAGAGCAGTGAGCCATGGGACGTAAGCAGTGAGTAGTGACCAGTGTGGAGGTGGGAACTCTCCCGCAGAGAAGATGAGAACAACCCAGGCGCACGGTGGGCGTGGGTGCCCTCTGGCCCCATACTCACTGGGAACAGCTTTCTCATAGCAGACACCCTTGTAGAAGCAGCACCCAAGCTCCTTGCACCGGTCCCTGGTGACATTGTAATCACAGATGTCATACAGAGGGATGTCACATACTGTAAGGCACAGAAACAGCACTGGTACCACAGAAAACAAAGCCATGCTTCTCTCTCTATTGACAGGGGGATCAGAGATAGCACTGACATCTCGCTCCAGGTTCCAATTCTGCCCTGCTCACATTCCCAAACGCTATCCCGTACTCCATGCATATGCAGAAACCCCACCACAGAGTGGGGGCCTCTTTGCAAAGCCAAGAGAACCAAGGTTCCCAGTCTTGCTCTAGGTGTTCAGTTCTGGTGCCCAGCATGGCAGGGGGTAGCCCATGGAATGAAGCATCTCCTTGGCCATAAATTGAGGTGCTCTCTTCAGCATAACGCAGATGAAAATGCATCAGCACTTTATTTCTCATTTTGTTTTAATATTTTTAAACAGTAGTACCCTGTCCTGTTATAAAATCCAGTCCCCATGATGTCCGACCCTCTTTCCCCTCTGCCAGCCAGTGGCCTCTTCCTTCACCATTTTCCTTCTCCAGAACTGTTGCTTCCTGGACCTTCTGTGATGTCTCCGTGCATTTCTCAACATTCACTAGACCCTGGAGAGTCCTCGAATCTTTCTGTGCCTGCCATCACCCCTCTACCCTGCTCTACGACCCAAGTGGTCCCACCCCTCCCGAGGGGCATATGCTTTTCTACACATGCCTGATTTGAAGTCAGTGCAGGTGTGCTGTGCACACGTGACGCACCTCTGAGAAAGTCACACTTGCCATAGCTTCCCTCAACGCAAAGGGGACCATGAGCCTCACTTGAGATAAGAATCAAGGAGTAGCTGAAGAATACATTTGGCTCCTGGCAGGAAATGCCCCGGCCTGTTAACTTCCAGGGAGAAGGGATGTCATTCTATTTCTTACAGATGCACACAGAGGTTTTTCTAATGAGACTTAAGAAAAAGGAAACTTCACGCAGTTTTCCCGGATTCTTCTAAAAACACACATTCTCACACCTGCCTTGCCCAACTACACCTGGTGACTTGGACTGTCAACACCTCAGGCTGAAACAGGCTCCAGGGCAGACTTTTCCACATTACCTAAAAATTTCTTCAGGAGATGTGGTGGGGACTTCATTTCTGGCATGTATCTCATTGTAGCAGCTAGTGGGTGCTGCAGGGGTCAATCGCTTCTCAGCACAGGTGGGCCCCAGGGTGTCCACTCCTGGAAGGACAGGGCACTTCAGCACAGGTGGGCCCCATGGCTATGTGCTGGAGGTGTCCTTGGGACCAGGGACTAGACAGTCAAGCCCTGAGGGTTATTCCGCCCCGCCCCCAGGGGAGGATGGCACATGACCCACCTGTCTATCATGTCCTTGGGCTGAGTCCCTTCAGCTGCCCTCTCTCTCTGTTATCCTTCAAGTGGGAAATAACCTTTTGATAAACAAGGAACTGACCACCTCCTCCTGTCTACTGTTCTAGGCTGTGGAGTACAGACACAGGCAGGCAACCCCTGCCTGCTGTGACATCACACAGAACTCCGAGGTCACACAGATGTCACACAGGACACTTTATGCTGACAGCGTACAGGCCACTCAGACTGACAGCCTGGAGAAGGGGGTTTTGGTTCAAGGCACTGTTCTAAACCCCGAAACCCGAGTCCCACCTTGCCTGTGAGCCACCACCCAGGCCTGCCTGGCCGAGCTGCAGTATCAGGCTTTTAGGTTCTACCATGTCCTCCTTCCGGCCATGGTTCTCTTTCTTGGAGCAACCGAGATGCATCGTGAACAAAACTAAGCTTCCCTCCTCCTATGGAAGGAGACTGAGCAAACTTAAGCCAGACCAAACCATGCCATGGGGAAAAGTAGGGAGCCTGGGCAGAGACTGGCTCACTGCTTATGCGATAGTAAACTGGTTGGAGAGTGCTCAGGGAAAGAGGTGGAGTGGTTTTATGTACGAGTTGATTGGGGAGGCTGGGACAAATCAGAGGGAAGGTGCTCACCTCTCCCTGGGACTCACACAGGAGCTGAGCATCCTCAGGGCACCGTCAAATGCTATCAGAGCTCTTCTTGTGTTCATTATGAGCCTTTAAGCACCCTTCAAGCTCACTTCTCTAAGTGTGCGGAGATGTTAGGACTGGGGCCCAGGCTGACTTGAGTGAAGGACAGTCAGCTAAGCCGGCAGGCTGCCCTGTGCCAGGACCAGCTGCTCTGAACACTCCAAGGACACATGGAGGAGGCTACACTGAAGCATAACTCTGGCTCCCATAGGCACTATCCCAGCAAACAGCTTACACAGGACTTTCTGTGATTACAAATCCCAGTGGTCCTGAATCCATTTCCACCCAAGTCAGTGGGGACACTTCCCCTGGTGCCCCAACAGAAGAGCTGTGATTGGTGCAAACACAGATCTTCATTTACATAAGGAACTGCTGTGATTGGTGCAAACACAAACTCCTTCATTTGTAGGCCTGCCATGATTGGTGTAGACACCCTTGACACCACCACCATCCCTTTCTAGCTATATAAGCCCGCAATTCAACTCACTTTGTGAGCAGCTAGGAGACATCCTCTTTGCTTGCTGCCCCCTGGTGTTGCTACATGAGGTCTCAATAAAGACTCTCTCCTGGGTGTCGCCTACCTTTGTGAGCTGGTAGCAGGAAGAGAAAGAGACGCAGTAGCAGCAGCAGAGGTGGGAAGAACAGCTTGGGGCTGCTCCAGCAGCAGGGCAGCAGCCAGGGCTCCTGTTCAGCAGTGAGAGCTGAGTGACCCCTGGTGGGGGCAACCTCAGGCCTATCGCAGCTGACTGGCCCAGGGAAACTGACAACACAATGACAAAGATGTTAAAAGGAAAGCTGACATGAGCAGGAAACACAGCTGCCAGTTGGGATTGGCAGTTGGAGAGGCCCCTCCTGTCACATCCTTGCCCAGGACACAGAAGAGCCATAGCACTTAGGGCCTAGGCCAGAACCCCATCCCGCCACACTGACTGTCAGGCCTGGGCCTAACCTCACGGTGCGTCTGCTGTTCTAGCTGAGAAAGGTCCTGGGTCACCTGCTGCTGCCCACTGCCAACCACTCACTCCACTGCCTGCAAATGGAGCCTAGACCAAGGTCCCACCAAGGGTCTGGAATAACTTGAGGGACTTCTTTTCACCTACCCACGATTTCTATCTGGGTACAGCAGAAGGACCCTAGCCAACTGGTTTGAAACAAGGGCCAGCAGGGGGAGGGGTGTCACTGTTTTATACATGGTGAGCAGGCTCCCCAAGCTACAGCAGCAGCAAGTGCAAGGGCTCTGGGGTGAGGCAGTGCTGGTGAAGTTGAAAGGTCTGACGTTTGGTGCCTGATCTCCCTTACACAAGATAGCCAATTCCACGTGCACCTGGCTTTCACTTGCCATCACACCAAATGACAAGTGAGCACCAAGATCACTGCAGATCCACACACAGTGTTGTGAGCGTTTCTGGCAATGATGAATTTCCCTCACGGTGTGCGGTAACTTCGTAACGCATATGCAGAAGGGTTAGGTGCTTACACACCTTCTCTCAGTTATTAACCATCAGCCACTTCTGTTTACAGATAAAACCGATTTAATTCACACTGCGTCTGCATTAGTGAGAAGTTAAATGGAGCCCAACGGTGCTGTGGAGAAGGTGCAGCCCTGGACTGCTGCCGTCAAGCAGGTCTCACGGGGACCTTGTCTAGCAGCTTGCTCCCTGGCCCTCACCCAATTGGTGGAGTTCCAGAAATGCCTTGAAAGCGCAGGAAAGTATCTGGGACTTTCCAACCTGGAAAGGAAAAGGGAGGACTACCTATGGTGGCAACGACTCCCCAGGGAGGCGTGTGACAAGTGGCGACCCTGAGACCCTGAGGGCAGACAGCGAGGACCCCACACCAAGGCAGCAGAGGTGGTGTTGGGGCAGGTGCCAACACCACGTAAGCCACTAAGCCCTGAGTTTTCACGTTCATGCATTGACTCCACGTCCAACAGTGACAGGCCCGACTGCTGGCCTCAGGATGTTCTTCCTGAGGTCAAGGCTGTAGGACACCGAGACCACTGCTGTGGGCTGTGTCTCTCAAGTGTGCCGGCGCGCCTCAGAACGTGACTGTTTGCAGATGTAAAGCTAGTTAAGGTGAGATCACACTAGGTAAGGTGGCCCCCATCCATGGCGACTGGTGTAAGAAGGGGGAATTTGGACACAGAAGCACACCGAGAAAATGCCACCCAGGGTGGAGGCAGATTGGGTTAAGTCTTTGTGGGGGGACGGGGTTGTTTTTTCAGTACTGGGGGTTTAGCTCAGGACCTGCCCCCAGTCCTTTCACATTTGCCTGTTTTTCAGATAGGGTCTCGCACTAACTTGCCCCGACTGGCCTACCTACCTCAGACTCCTGAATAGCTGGGACCGCCATGCCCAGCTGGGTCTTACGTATTTTAAATTTTATTTCCTCCTATTTGGTATTTTTTGGTATTGAAAATGTTTTTATATTTTCCACTTGTTTCTGACATAACACCACTAATTCTATTTGATGTATTTCATACACAAACAATAGCATTATTGACAATGACAATTTTAGTTGTTTCTCTACAACCAGTGTCTCCTCTCCCCTTCTGCCTTCATACAGCACTGAGTAGTACTCATCTTTTTTTTGAGGTACTAGGGGTTGAATTTAGGGCCTCATGCTTGCTAAGCAAGTACTCCAACACCCGAGCCACACTGCCAGCCTTTTTTTTTTTTTTTTTTTTTTTCATTTTTCTTTTATTATTCATATGTGCATACAAGGCTTGGTTCATTTCTCCTCCCTGCCCCCACCCCCTCCCTTACCACCCACTCCACCCCCTCCCGCTCCCCCCCTCAATACCCAGCAGAAACTATTTTGCCCTTATCTCTAATTTTGTTGTAGAGAGAGTATAAGCAATAATAGGAAGGAACAAGGGGTTTTGCTGGTTGAGATAAGGATAGCTATACAGCTGCCAGCCTTTTTTGTGGTTTTTTTTCCAAATGGGGTCGCTTTATGTCCCAGGCTGACCAGACCACAATCCTATTTGTGCTTCCCCACATAGCCAGGATGACAGGCACACATCAACATACCCAGCCATTGGCTGAAATGGGGTCTCAAACCATAATCCTTCCAATCTCTGCTTCCTGAGAAGCTAAGAATACAGGCGTGAGCCACTGTGCCCAGCGTCAAAGACATTTTGCTGTTAACGTGGCGTTTGTTGACAGGCTTCTGTTAATGGTCTCAGAGAAATAGAACAGGAAATCCCATCCTAGTCCTAGTTTGCTCAGTTTCCTCCCCATAAATGGATGCTGAATTCCTCCAAATGTGTTTTCTGAATCTAATCACAGGATCAGTTTTTTGTTTTTTCTTGTAAATGTGGTACTTATTTAACTCTTAAACCAAACTTGTACCCTTGAAATAAAAACACCTTGGCTATGCTGTTGTCTTTTCTGTGTATTTATTTAATATTCTTTGCATCTATTATTCATGAGACTGACTGGATGTTGTTCTTGTTCTGCCTGGTATATACTATCATTATCAATGTCCAGTGTTGGAATGTGACTTTGGCAACCCATTTACTCAATTTCTACGTTCTGGGAAATTTTGACTTAGCTTGCCCCAGCTCATAGCCAGGAAGAATGTGCACGTCGGCAATTGTGAATGACAACTTCCTCAGATACAACTGTCTGTTGTTTTCTATTTTCTGCTGGTCCTTGTGTCAGTCTTCAAGCCCTCTTCTAGGGACGCACCTATTCATTCCCCTCCACCTGCAAGTTCACCGCCACACCCAAGCATCCTGGTGCCACATGAAGCTTGTGAAGCTGTCTCGCTTTCCATTCTGACACGGTGTGCGTGTGCCTTGTTTACCTGGCCTATCTGGCCAACAGCTTCTCACTTTTTAACTAATCCTTCCAAAGAACAGATTGCATTCATTCCCTCGGTGCATGGCAGCCCTCACCTACCATCTTCTCCAATTGTCTCTTCCCAGAAATCTCCTAGGAATGGAGCTGCAGACTCATAAGGTGCAGGTGTGCTCCCTGTGTAATATCGAGACGGAGGCCGGCCAGGTACATGGGTGGCAGGGTTTAGGTTTGTATTAACTGTTTGGGAAGAATGAACTCTTGAATTATTGAATGAGGATGGAATTCTGACCCACAGCTTGTCTCTGCTCGTCTTCCTTGTCTCCATGTGTCACAGTTCTCAGTGTGTAAACCTTGAATCCCTTCTGTCAAACTCATCCTGAAGAAGTAATGGTTACTACTGCTTCTAAGGTACAGATTTCCCGTTGCTCCTTGCTGATACACAGGCTGCTGCTGGTTTTTGCATGTTCACCTTGACACATCACCCCCTACCTCAGTGTTTAAAACAAGTTTATCATCCTCCAGTTCTGGAGGCCAGACCCAAAATCCAGATGTCACAGGGTGGCATCGCTCGTAGAGGGCCTGGAGAATACCTCTGTGCCTGTCCAGCTCCTACAGTGTAGGCATGCCCTGCTTTGGGGCCTTCCTGGTGTCCATCCATGTGCTCCCGATACCATATTGCTGCCTGGGACTCTGTCCTCCACCTCCCTCAGAGAGGCCCCAGTGCCTTTGCAGCCCAGGCTACCTTCTCATCATCAAGAGCCATATCCGAAGTCCCTTTGCTATATACAGTGACCCACAGATCCTGTGGATTGGGGGATGAACACCTTCAGGGGCCATTATTCTATTATAATCTGGGGCCTCCTAATACTAACAGCCCTTCTGTAGTTAGGTTAGCATTTTGTCTGTAGACGGTCAGTCTAGAATACACACCACTGCCTACCCAGTACACATGGCTGCCGTCTCCAGCTTTTGCTAAAGCACAGTGGCCACGGAGCACATGGGGCTGTCCTTGTCCACAGCACCCACAAACCCTAGTTCTGCCTCCTTGCAGGCAGCAAGGTTAGGCCAGTCTGCTCAGCCTCAAGCACTTCTGCCTGGGGATCCCCTCTTTGACACACCTCCTTCAATGCCTATTTGTTCTGTGCATCATACACAATTTACGCTCCCATTAACTCTACACACAATAATAATTAGGAAAATAATTTACTTCTCCCAGATGCTGGAAATGCTGATACACAGTCACGGGCTTCTGGGTTTGAAGACTAAGATGAGCTCCACGTCCCCTGGTTCAACCTTCTCTTCTTGCCAGGTGTTCTGGCCCAAAGATGGGGGAGGCCAAGAGAGTTCAGCCTCATGGAAGGCCCCAACCACCACTGTCCACCTAGCCCTCCAAGACTGTCAGATGCCCACAGAGGAAAGTGGCCTTGCCTTGCACTTGCCTGCCTGGCTGGTTCCATCCTCCCAGAGCTCTGACCTCTCGTCAGGCTCTCATGCCCTTCTGGATCCCTCTGGCAAGCACGCCCTCTGACCAGAAGGTCAGAAACTGAGTCAAATCACTCCTTGCCTTGCAGGCTGGCCACCACCAGCAGTGTGGCCACATTTAAAATGAGGTAACCTCCCTTCAGCAAAGGCAGGCAAGGCAGGGCTCAGCCATCCCAACGCAGTCAGGGCAGAGTGTGTGTGTGTTGGGCGGGGGAGGTGGGTGGACAGATGAGGGATAGGAGCATCAGATGGGAGGAAGGAGAGGGGAGGGAAGGAGAGGGGAGGGAAGGAGGACACAGACCTGACAGGAACTGGCAGGAGGCAGCCCACCCACCACACCCAACCCTGAAAAACATCCGTTTAAAACAATTTGGAGGAAGGGTGATGCTGGGGGAGGTCACGATCTCAGGTCCAGGGCTGGTTCATTAGAAGATACATCTGTGAGAACTGCCTGACACAGAAGAATCCAGGACCATCCTTCCCCCTTGCCATGCTGGCATCAATGAGCTGGGGTTGGAGGAAGTGTTTCAGATAGCTTCTATGCTCTAGTTTCTTTTCAGAAACGAGAACTGCAGTTGCCAAGGATGTGAATGGTAAATTAATTCCACTGAAAGCAAAAGCACCCAGAGCATCTCTGGGTCTCAGGCACAGCCACAGAGCATTCACACATGAGGGAGGTCTGCCAGCAGCTCACTAAGAAAAAGTGCAGTAGCTACGAGCTGTAGACAACAGTGAGTCCACAATGACTTGTCATTTTTAACGTACGCTAATTCAAAAATGTAATACAACTATCTGAGCAAAGACAATGGGTCCAACCTACACAAGCCTATATGGAAAGCATCTTTAAAAAGGATCAAAAGGGCAAGTCAGAGAAGATAACGTTCATGTGATCTCATCATGGAGAAAGAATCCACACCTGAACAGCACACACCCATCTCTGCTCAGAAGTGAACAGGACCCCAAGGCCTGTGCACTCCTTCCTCCTGTGAGATGTGTGCTTTCACTCCATGTTCTCGCATGCTCTTTACATGTCCCCTAAGCAGATATTCCTGTAATTAAAAACCACCGAGAACACACTCGTGTATAGCGCACCACAGGCTGGTCACAGTGCTAACAGGAGAGAGGATTTTTTTTTTGAACCCTTACTCATTTTTGCCCCAACTAACTAAAATCCTTGAGATTTTTAGATTCTGGCTTCATCTAGGTTCTTGCACTAACCTGTGGTTGGCTGGATGTACTGTGTGGCCGCTTAGTAACTGCCAGGGTGCTGAGCCAGTCAGATGCTCATCACCGCCACATCCAGGCAGAGACATCCTGGCTCACAGCGTGGAGTGTCCTCACCCACCTGCACTGCTGGCCAGTAGTCAGGCTGGGCCTGCAGCCTCGGTAGTCCCAATCTGCACCCCAGGCTTTCAACCTGTGGGTGGGCTTTTGGGCTGCACCCATGCTGATTCACTGGCTGCAGGTTTGCTTTCCAGGTGACCAAAGGGCAATGTAGTAGAGGACAGTGATGATCCCAAACCACAAGATGGAGGGCTTACCAGAGTATCCAGCCAGACCTGTCACTACAGAAGACACATACCACCACCACCTCCCTAAAATCTGGCAGGAACTCGAAATAGTAGTTTACCAAGTTACCTGGCCAACAAAGTTTTCTTAAGTCAAAGTTCCTAAGATGACAGACAAGGCAATTAGCTCCACTTAGGTTAAGGGTAAAGTTTCTTATAAGTAGGAAGGTGATCCACTGCTGCAGTTTGGATCCTCATCGTCCCCCACAGGAATGTATGTGTTGAAGACTTACTTGATCCCCAGGTGGTGCCATTAGCATGTGGTAGAACCTTTAAAAGATGGGGCCGAGTAGAAGAAAGTTAGGTCATTGGGGATTGCTGAACCCCCTCTTTTGTGTCTTCTCAGACACCACAAGGTAAGCTCTCCACCAGGTGCTCCTGCCCTGATGCGCTGTGCTGCCACAAGCCCAAAGTGACAGGGTGAAGCAACCATGGACGAACACCATGGTTCTCTCAGATATTTTGTCAGTCACAGAATGCTAATACACACCTACCAAATAGATCTATACCACTCCCAGCTTTGTCATTCTAATCAGAGGCTTTTCTTCCCTTCAATAGTGTCTTCAACCCTCTGATGGAGAGACCCCCTCGACCAGGGAACTCCCAACACCCTCAAGGAAATGGTAGGTAAGACTTTACCAGACAAGCACACAGCAATTTCCTTTTGTCCTGTGGCAATTCCTATGAAGAACCCCACAGAGATCTTCAAAACGCTCCCATTTATTCAACCCCACAAAATGGTCTACTGATAGTCTGCTAATTTGAAAGCCATTATTCCAATATGGCATAGAGACTGCACCCAAGAGGGCTCGCTTCCATTTCCTTCCCTAAAACTTCCAGTTTTCTTTCCTTATCTTGGTGTCTTCATGTGCTCTCAACTTGGTTTCAAACATAAATGTCCTATTTTTCAGTATCAAAAGCTCACACCAAACTTTTAAAATCTAAAAAAGCCAACACACACACACACACACACACACACACACACGGCAACTGTGGAAAAGATAAAGTGACACAGTTTGTGAAGTAGGAAAAATAGTCAGTTTAATAGATGCAATGATGTAGCGCAGACACTGTAGTAGTCAACACCAGGACGCTGTCTGTGCCACGCTTCCTCCGGGGCCAGGCGCCCTGGGCGCCCTGGGGAAGCGGGAATGATTGGCATGAAGAGTGCACAGGCCATGGCAGGTGTTCTAGGTCCAGCACCGGCATGTGTGTGGACAGCAGAACTGAAAGAGTACAACGAAGCTTCAGGTGCTGCTGCTACATCTCAATGTGGTTTGAAACAGAAAGTGCTTCACATCTACAGGACAGGAAATGGCTTCGTCCCCTAATCCCTCAAAGATGAGGACAAAGGAGTGACCCTTGGTAAGTGGGGCCCCTTTAACATCTGTGTCAAAGCCCCACCCTCTGAGGTGAAACAGACACAGGTGTGTACAGCAGGGCAAGTTTTAAAAAGAACTGCTCTCAGCTGCAGAATCCGTTCCGCAGCAAGCCTGGAAGGAGCTGGGCCTACAGAAGGGAAAGGAGCCGTCCACACGGCCTCAACCCGCATTCAGGGGAGGGTGTTTGGAACTTGAGTATTCCCACAAACACCTCAGGCGAATCATTAAGGCAGGTCTGTAGGAGGCCATCCTAGGACTCCAGCAGCCTCAGTGGTGGCGAGAACGGCCTGCAGAACACAGGCCACCCACTGCCCATGGTGGAGAGGTCCGAGGAGAGTTGTTCCTGAGTTAAAATCTGCTATTGTCCACCGCAACATCTCATGGGTCACAAGAACACTTGTAAAAACGGGGTTTATGAACAAGAAGACAGAAGACTTGGTCTTTTCTTGTCCCAGTGCAAACATGTAGAGTGCAAGTAGGAAGTGGGTAATTCTGAGAGGACCTGGGGCCCCCGGCAGACCCATGCCTAGGGCTGGGCAGAGACTGCAATAAACACAAGTATGAAGGAGGAACCAGACCACCAGAAATCAAAGCACCTCAGAGGTGCCCAACTTGAAAGAATTTGCGTGCAAGCAAAGGACGATAAGACTGACACACAGAAAGTCAGGGCTGCTGCCGAGAGCTGGTTCCAAGGCATCTTGCAATGCCTGCTGCTGGGATTCTTTCCGGCATTCCAAGGGAAAAGTCAATCTTCCTTTCAAACAGGCCTCTCTGGAGAGAAGCTGAGAGCCACACTCCTGCGGCCACCAACACTTATTGCTAAAACAGAGCCAGGCCCGCTATGAGGGGGGGGCCTCCTGCCCAGGCCACTGGCTTTCCAAGGCCCAGGGAGGCAGCAAAGCAGAGCAAGATCTGGCCTCCTTCCCTGTCCCCCACCTGTGTCAGGATGGCCCTTCACCTCAGCTCTTGCTATTCGGCTGAACTTCAGTGTGTATTGCTTTAGTCTTGCTGGAAAAGGGGAAAGTGGGTTTTCAGTGGGCACAGGGCAATGCTGGCTGCAACCAGTGGCAAAGCAGATCTCGGGGTCAAGACCGGCTACAACCATACCCCGCCGACTGGCATGGGTTCGCAGCACTGCTTCTGTTCGTTCTCACTGGCTATGGCATGCATAATAAATAACACATTTTATATACAGGCCCTAGTACTCTCTCTGGGGGAGGGCTAAACAGCGTACTCTGTCAGGTTTCTGTACGAACCTCTGTAGACAGTCTGAGCCATTTTCCCTATGCTGTGAGCACAGTCCTGAAACCCCAGTACTCAGACCACAGACAGACCTGGCGATGCTGACTTCCTGGAGTTCAAGGCCGAGGCGCACTCAGCCAGTGCAGTGCCCTCAGCACACTGCTGGCCTGAGACTGCAATACTGCTTTAAAAAGAAGACTGGTGACAAAAGGCTAAGCTGCCCTGTGAGGCATGCTGAGGTGGGATGTGCTTGCCCGGCACGATGGAGGCTGCTGGTGCAGGAGTATGACATCCACCAAAAGCCCCCCTAATCCTCCGCCTGTGATGGTGCCCAAACGCGAGTACAACTCCAGTGACCAGAGGGTTAGGGGGAAGGAGGGTCAGCCTGGTCAGTCACAGATGTGCGTTCAGAATGGATATTTACAAGAAGTGCGTGTATATGGTGTTTACAGATTCAATTCTAAGTCCAAAAAGGCAGGACTTTAGTCAGTCACTGAACTTATTGCAAAATGAGGTAATCAAGATGTCAGCAGAGGGAAACAATGCAGAGTGGCCCTCAGTGTCTATACCTCAGGTGGATTCTTCAGTGATGGTTTGAACATTTCTGTTTACATGGCGAAGACAGCTTTCGTCAGTCCTGCCTGGTCCTCACATGTCTTCAGCCTGTAAGAGCTGGGTGATCTCACAGATTGGTCTCATCCCAAGCAGGGTCATTCAAGCTCTTTAGAACCTTCCTCACCAGCTTCTCCAGATCTTTGCGGGCCCTCTGCTCTTCCTCCAGAGATTTCTTCATCTTTTTGTTATCCTGTGAGTTAAGCAGACCACAGGATGGTCACTGGCCTTGATACTGAACAGAGCCTCTCCCTAAACTGTCTGTGTGGCAGCATCTGTGGGCTGGGAGGTGGGGAGGCATCGGTCTCCAAGACTGTGAGATCTCAAGAGGCACTATGGCTCTCTGGTGGCAGACTAGCTTCTTGAGAGCCAGAAGAACTCACAGGTGGAGGGCACACCCTAATAAAATTTCTGCAAAGAGCGAAAGAAGAACAACTCCTACCCAATTTCTTGTTAGCATTTTCAATTCCCTTGTAAAGCCAAATAAGGACCAGAAGCAACAGACACTAAATAACCTCAGGAGTGAGTCAACCGTCGTGTAACACTGCTGGTGGAGTGGGGGGTGGGGAGGCAGGCGGAGGCCCAGCACACAGGGCGTGAGCCTGGAGCCAGCCTGCAGGGATGCTGCTGAGACCCACTGAGGAGCCACAAGGATGCATCACAATGCTCCAGACCCAGAACACATCTGTCCCTCCTCCCTGAGCCTCCAGCATCTGCCCGCCTCCCTGCTCACCTTGTACCCACGCGGACACTCCTGATAAGCGAGCCACATGTCACTGGCTCACTGTCCTGGCTTCTGAAGCACGTGTACCGTTTGTGGTGGACTAAGTTAAGAGGTACCAGTAGAAATTTTAAATTTTGAGATAGCTTATATCAAAACAGTACAGTTAAAGTGTTTAAACAAGTCACTTTAAGAACACCTTTGCTTGTCTATCACTCTTATGGAAGGCCAATGGCTGTATGTCTTGGAATTCTAAGACATGACTTCCTTTCAGTAATTTCTTTGTTGATGGACAGTGAGTTTCTTTTTCTTTTTATTTGGGGTTGTTGTTGTTGTTGTGCCAGTGCTGGAGTTTGAACTCCGGACCCTGTGCTTGCTACACCAAGCTTCATTTGTAATACAGCATTTTCCTTTATTTCCCACCCATTATAAAGATTAGAAAGCAACTGACGCACCTGCCTTAACTCTTGGACTTCATCTTTCAATGCGTACACAGTATCAACAAGGCTCCTGAAATGGTAAACAGAGCAAACACATGAATGGGGGGGGCGGGGCGGGGTGCCACGGACACGCAGACACAGGAAGGATCATGGGGCACCATGCTGGAAGCAGAGCTGCTCCGCCCTAGCACTCTGCCTTAATTCTCGACTCCAAAGCAGCCCACCTCTGCACCGCAGAGCCAAGCCCGACTCCAACCTGTGGAGGAATTTGAATTTTGGAAGCCATGCCCAGCCCTCAGGGATGTTTTCTGCCTCCACAACCCACTTAAAGAGTGCACAGGCCACCTCAGTAGAGTGGAAGACATCTTACTTTTCTTCCATCACTGTCTGACCGTTACTTTTAGTTTCTTCGACAATGATTTTCTCCTCCTCCGGAAGCAGGACTTGTGGAGCAGATTCTTTTCGTGAACCTAAGGTCATTAAAGAAAGAAAGACCTCAGTGAATAGCAAGGCACAACCATGGAAGGGAGCTAACGACTACACGACATCACTACATGTGAGGCTGCGCATTAAAAACCCCGCAAGACAGACGAGGAGAGGGCATCTCTCACTTCCCCCACTTCTGTCTACTGAGTGCAGTCTTTTTCATGCCCGAAGCTGTACAGAGGAAAGGACACACCAGCCTGTTTGCAATTTATTAAATTTCATTTTTTGTATCTGGATTGTAGGTCTTTTAAACACTAACATTTTCAACAGCGGGGCAGTTAAAAGTTCTGATCCCATTGCCCTGTACACTCAATCAAATTTTAAGTCATTATATTATCACAGGAATTTTAGAAAGACATACAAGACCATATATAACACATACACTAAGTGTTTATAAAATTAAGTATCTGGCAATTAGTAAAAATGAAAAATTAACCCTTAACATCCCAAAAGAAAGATATTACAGCACGTAATTCAGAAGAAGTGGAATTTATTACCTGCCTATTTTATGAAACTTTTATTCTCCATTCCCCAGAACATAAGCACTTTTCTAAAAGACAGGAAGCGAGCTGTTTACGATGTCCGGGGAACCTGTATACCATTTTAACCAATACCCAGCACAAAAGCTCGTGTGGAACAGCCCTCTGGCAAATGCTGCAAGGCACCTACTTTAGAGGTCAATTGTGAAATCCAAACAGTCATTGTAAAAGGTAAGGGACGAGTCAGATCTATTTTAATAATGTGAAGATTCTCTTCAAAGCCAGGTGTTGTGATAACACACCATCGTATATTTGAACAATTACATCATGTGCAAGTTGGAGGAAGGGTATAATCTACTCCAGAACACAAGCACTTGCAAGTGGAATTGCCCTAATTTAAACATTTTTCCTTGAGAAAAGCACACTTGTTGCTCTTGGCAAGCTGACTATCAAGGAAATGGTGGTTAACTTCCCTGGTTTTATGCTTCTGCTATGCCTTTCATGTCTTCCTGAAAGTCTGTCAAATTGCAAGGGCACTGTGTTCCCTTGTTGTCATGGAAACCCAGAATAATGCAAGCATTTTAAAGACAATTGTAAAGAGCAGTTTGCCAGCCTTTTATGGCAAATGTGTACTCCCCGAACAGAACGAGAGTAACCACTGCCGCCAAAGCTGATGGTGAGAGGGGCCAAAAAATGGCCCATGTGGCCCCAAGGGCTGTGGCCTTGGGCACATGTCCCCAGGCTCCCCTTCATGTGCTTGCAAAGGCCACTCTGACACAAGTTGCCAAGAAAGAGCCTCTTCTGAGACCAGGAAGGCGGGAGCTGGACAGACTACAACAACACAGTCCACTCAGGGAGCTAGGGGAAGGGGCGGGAACAGCACTGGGTATGAGCAGTCAAGCACACCTGCACGACAGTCCACCCTTCACAAGACTTGCATTGTATGGCCGTGAAAAGAGGGGCTTTTGTGTGTACTCAAGAGTAATTTCTGTCTCCTAACAAATCCGAGCTCTTGGAATTTTGTCAAAGCTGTAATGAGCAGGTACATCTGAGTATATTCATAAATAAATTTATCAAAAACTATTTCAAGGAAGGCGGACTCTCTTGTGCTGACATGTTTACTGGGGGAGGGGAGGAGTTGCATCCACAGGCCCTAGAGAGGCCACACCACCCACCTTTCCCAAATTGACCCATGCTTCAGGGATGGTAGACTTCAAGATATGGTCCCAGAGAGGAAAAAGGTTTTATAAAAATGTCACCAGGCTTGACAACATCAGTCCTCTCAAAAATCTCTGACAGGCCCCAGAAGACAGGACCTTTCTGGATGACCTCTGTGAGGTGACAGGAGCCAACTATGGGGCTCCTCTTCCTGGTGAACATAGAATGCTGAAGGGCCACACCGAGAGGCATGAGACAAAGCACAAAGAGGCGGCAAGGACCAGCCTGGCACTCTCCGAGTGCCTCCCGTGCAGGTGCAGGTGCAGGTGCAGGTGTAGGTGCAGGTGTTCCTTGTCTCTAGAAGAAGAAGTTAAATTCATATGCTTTATGCCCAGAAAAGTACACAAAGATTCCAAAGATCAGGTGTTTCCCCATGTGTAGAAACACATGGCTCTGCACAAGCTCCATGAAGAGAAGCAGGCTCCCAGCTAGCTGGCTACTCCCCATGTCCTGCTTTGGGCCCCAACAGCTGGTAACTGCATCAGATTCGAATCACAAAAAGATAGCAATGGCAAATCAGTTGCACGTTACATTCAATAGACTTCCTCAAAAGGAGTAAGTAGCAAGTATGGCATGCATGTTGGAAAAAGGTTTTGTGTAACTATGCCTCAGAGTAAATTCCTTTCAGTTACTTTTTGTCTCTTCTAGTTTCCTGGACAATCTGTTCACAGTATCTTTGTTTACTTAATGTTCCCAAGTGACATAAGATAGTCACAAATGGTGTCACCCTAGGCCCATTACTTAAACAACTGAGTTTCAACTCATTACTGAAAAGTCACAAAAGAGCTGCAAAGCTGTGCTGAGAGTTAGTAAACACCGTTTTACTAACTCAGCTATCTCTCACCAAATGAATTTACAGATAAAACTTGAAATTCCATACAGCAATGTCATTAATTTGAGGAACTAAAGCCCAGTAAGGGTTGGTAATTCACGGCACAGGTCTTGTTTTTGCAAATAGTGTGTGCTTAGGGTACACAAGAATTCAGTGGCAAAGAATAAAAAGTGTGAGGATTGATGTTAGAGACAGAAGACACTAACTGCTCTAGTCCTGAGACTAACGTGAAAAAAAAATGCCACTGACGGACCCGCTGGGGAACCAGAAAGCAGAAAATGAAGATCATCACTCTGCACAGAAACCCACACAGTGCTAATCGTCTGCCTACTTGCAATATAACATACTTTTCTAAGATGACTGGAGAAAATGTCTGGCCTTTCAACAAAACAGTGTTTTCTAGCCAGGTTTACAAATAAGCTGGCTATTTCTTTTAGAACAAAGTTTCTAAAAGTAGACAAGTTACATCAGCAATTACTGAAGTATTTTTAAAGGCTTCACAGCACAATTTTTCTGAATTACCTAGGTTGGAAAAGGGATGTTCACAACAGAACCGCCAGCGAACATGATAGCACTAAGTCCTGTAACAAGGGCTCATGCTTACTAGTGCTGTCACGCTGGCTCTAAGACAGTCGCTGTTTGGGGAGATAACGACAGGTTCCACACCACATCACTTCTGAAGTGCTGCAGGTGACTGCCACTTCTTAGACATTCACTGTACACCTTTACCATGTAGTGGGCCTTTACCACAAAAATACTCATCAACTCAGCCCTTCCAAAACTCTGCTAAGGGAGGAACACTTTTTTCTACCAATAATAAAACATCTTGTGGTTTGCTACAATCCTGTGTCTACAAACACACAAAACTGCTGGTGTGTCCTTGCTGCTACTGTTTCTGTATGGAGGTGGTAATAAGAAACACATGAATATAATGGAATAACATGTACTCAAACTGGAATCTCCAGGAATGGCAGAGTTACCCTCAGGCCTCTAAGACACGGGGTGGGGGACAGTTCCACATGGCCACTACTGTGCCATGTGACTAGATGCCAGCAGGCCCTGGATCTACTCGACACCTGGCAACATGCTTGCAGTAGTAGGAGCACAGACGCTAACACATCAGCGATGTCTCAGAATCCTAGAACCCTGCCTTCCATTAGTCAGAGACCCCTAGGCTGAACCTCAGTTTGAGAAACACAGATCTCACCAAGGAATCTCACTTTATAGACAAAATGCCATGTCTGGGCTCCAACAGAGTAGGGTCCCATTCCACCAGTGCCTACCGTGCTGTCTGCAGGAACTGTGGCCGGGAGCCACAGTGATGACACACAACTGACTCTGGGATGATGGAGCCCCACCGTCAGAACCACGGCATGCACACACACACGTGTCTGCCTGCACTAGGAGCCTACGAGCATCTAGTGCACCCACCTGGCCATCAGTTAGGTACATCTGTGCATGCCTTCTTAAACGCGTGACCTTCCTAATTCTACATGTTATACTCAACTTTCGAGAGGGAGCAAAGTATTACACAAAAATCTGCTCAGGAGACTCTCTCCAAAGTCACGTGTGCCATTTTCTTCATTGTTCTGGGATCTGAGCTCATGTTTCCTTCATAGAAAGGGAAAGGAAGCATCTTTTCTCAGAGAGGTCTCAGCACCCGCTTACCACACCTTGTCCTATCCCCACGCATGCTACCAGGTACTTCTTTTCTTTCCTTTTTCTTTGCTGCGCTTTTCTCTTCTGAGCTGGGCATGTACTTTGTAAAACAAAAGGAAAACACTGATCCTAGCCTAAATAAAAAATTTTTTTAAATCCTGTTGTTTTTTTTACTTATGCACAAACGATAATGCTTCTTTTTGAAAATAACTCTTCTAGTGAGGGAAATAAAAAATGAAGGCGTGACCTTGCACTGTCTAGAACATATTTGACCCGAGAAGGTGCCAGCTCCTCTATCAAGGCAGACAGAGCATCCTATCGCCTGGCTTGCCTTTGGAAGATGCTGCGTTTGGGGAGAATAGCCAACTCATAATCAACTACAAACTATGCTATTCCCTCTCCCCCACATAACAAATATTAAAAGTCACGGGCTAGCAAATGCAAAATTTATTTCAACTGTACATAACAGATGTCTTTTTTTTATAAAACAAACACTTCATTGCCATATGCAACCACAAACAATGTGCATACTGTACAATACAATGCAACATCGAGATATACATCCAATAGTTTTCAAATGGTAGTCAAATACTAAAAATGGCTTTTCCCATTCACAGATAAAGAGCACAATATATAGATTTTTTTTTCAAGATCTTATACCACTATATACATATTACTGTGTTTTGGCAATTTTATGCAAAACACATAATTAATATAGCTTATTAAATACTTCCGACGAGCGTTATTTCGACGGGAACACTGTTCAGGACACCTTCAAAGGGCCTAGCGATGGCTT